CTTGCCTTCCCCCCCCCCCTTAACCCCCACCTGTTCCCTGCCTGGTGCCCCCCCCCCCCCCCCCCCCCCCCCCCCCCCCTGACGGTCATACAAATTGCTGCCTAATGTAAAAATGCAGTCTACACTGCAAGGAGGGATCAGTGCCAAGTACGCTTTCCCTTAGCCATCCCTTGAACACCCCGTGCACCCTAAGCACTCTCAAACCGCGAAGCAACGCCCCTACAGGCTGCCGAGCCAATGGTGAGTGTGCCTCGACCACCACACATGGGGCAGGCTCGAGTGCTGCAGTGTTGGAAAAAGCCTGGAAATAAAATGTACCAGCCAACATCTTGAATTCTGGGTTTTAGGTTTGTCCTTAATCGTGCTTATTGCTGATACAATCTATCCAAGGAAGGAGGTTGTATTAAATACTGCAGTTATTTTATTGCATAATCTCTTATGATGTAAGGAATAATATTGCCATGTTTAGCTAATATTATAAAGACTTGAGACGTGTCTGAGTAATTAGTGAGTTTATAGTTTTTTTTATACAATAGATTGTATCACTAGAACGATATACTGGCCGAGCCGATGTTGGCTGCTTATCGTTGGTAATATCTGTAAGGGCTAAATGTCAACAGGCAAGTTACAAGATACTGCAGCAGATTGTTTAAGTCCGACATACTGATATTAGCATCAGCCTCAAAAATCTAGTATTAGTCATGCTATAATAGACTGCATATAATAACACCTTTATTTTCTGTTTTCTTGAGCTTTTGTTGAAACTGCCAGAGAAGTATTTATTCATGGTGATGATCATTTTGTCCATGGACAGGACAGAAATGTGTCCATAGGTGGACAAATACATACAAACACCCTTCAGATCAGCGTATGGGCCGAGTCACTGTTATTGTTGGCACTGTTTGTGTATCAAGAGGGGTAGACTCTTAATATAAAGAGCTTCATAAAGGAAAGACTAACTTGAGGGTTGAAGAATTGAATTGCACAAGTGAACCTATTAAACTGGGAGCTGTTTAGCAGCTTCTTACATCCTTACCTCTAATGGTATGATAGTCTCAAGACAGGCTACACCAATATGAGTGTAATTGTACCATATGCATATGTTGCTGCAGTGTTAATATAATGCATACTGACCACAGTCACTTCAACCACTTGTGTTTTGAGTTTGAGTTTTAACTGTGTTGTACGTTAATGTATTGTTTAGTCTACTATGAATGTATCCACAGTGGTATAAAGTTATAACTCATGGGGAAAATAATTAGGCAAAGCACAAAATAATTAGCACAGTGCATTATGAGCCATTCTTCACTGTCATCTATTGGAGGAAGCTAGACTTCCTTGGCCACGATGTGGTCAGCTTCTCGTTAATCATTTGGGCACGTAAAGTCTTCCACAAAGTTGATGGACGTGTGAAAGGGGTCTTGTTTTTCACGTCCTTTGAAGACTAATGTCACAGCATTGTGAGTGATTCGACTCGGTGGGCTCACCGGAAACACTTTTGGATCCTGTAAGCTCTTTCTTTGACACAAAACATCTAGTCTCCTCGTCATGGCTATTACTTTTTAAAAGTCTCTCACTCACTCTCTCTCTCACTCGTCTCGTTTTCTTTTTTTCTCTCTCTCTCTCTCTCTCTGAACTCAGTGCTGTCATGGACACATTTCAGCTAAAATCACAGTGTGCTCAGTGCTTGCCCAAACACTGGTTTGCCAAATCAATTTTATTGCGTTTTTGCTGAATATCAGACATGACCCTGTCATGCACACATGCTGGAGTTGCAGCTAAAATATATAAAACAGACTCTAAAACTAATTTATGTTTTGTTTCTTTAAATATTGTACCATTTTATCATGTGGGTTCATTTTTGTGTCGAGAGATAAATGCAGGTCAGAATTTCCTCATCGCGATCGATCCAGGTTTCTATCTAAACGTGTCAACATCTGCTATAATAAACCCTGAATAAGTGAGCTCGCGCTGACAGACATCTGGAAACAGTTCAAACTTGCTTAGAAAACAACAAGATTCACACGTTCCGCTTTGTTCTAGTCTAAAACTTTCATAACAGAATGGACGGTCAATTAAAATGTGTTGAAGCTGCATCTGGATTTCAAAGAAAAAGTTATTCATCTCTCCACTGTAACTCCTCTGATGCTTCCCTGATGTGTTATTCATTCGGTCTCCAAGCCTCCTGCGAGGCTATTCATTCCACTAAACCACTGTCACTGTTCTTTCATCATCGAGAGCAAAGTGAGAATGTGCAAAAAATATTGAATTTGACAAACATAAACCAGTTGAGACTAAAAGGCAGCAATAACATGAATATAGCGTATATATATTAAATCTTTCTAGGGACAGAAAAGTGTCACATCTTTTTTTTTTACGATGATCTCAAATACGTGTTTTTAACCTTTAATGAGAAAGTGTATTGGAGCCAAAGAACTCTGAAAAGCGTATAGTAAAATAATGATAAGCCCCAGATGTGCAGCTTTCTCAGACTGTAACAACCACTGCAGGGAGGTTACCCATTGGATCTCGTACTGCATGGCACACAGGTGCCAAGGCCTCTAGCTATCACTTTTAATTCATTTCACCCAGCCAGCCACTAACTGGCTTTTATCACCTACGGCACATTTTAAAGTTAGCCATATGACTGCTCTCGATTGCTGATTTAGGGTTAGTGTAGCTACCCACATACTCATTAATTCTCCACAGATGCCAAAGTTAATGGCTAAAACATCCCCAATTTCTGCCAGATGTACAGTCGGGTGTCTGCGTATGAGTCAGTTTCTGTTTCAGGCCGTTTCACATCGTGGAATCCTCGAATTTGGAGTGTGCTCTCACTGCGTTGAGTCCAATCATATGGATTAAAGAGTCACCATTAAGCCAGTGATGTTTTCATTGCTTATTTGTCCAGGTGAGGGAGGACTAATTATCAATGCTCTTTCCCAGTGAAGCAAGCAATTGATGTATAACGACAATAAGATTTTAAGAGGCATTATGGCGATGATGCCAGCACTTCTTATCCTGCTTCATCATGTCTTGATGTCCATTATACCTGGATGCACTTTGTTTTTTAGACTGACAACTGGATATAGCAGAGATTGTACTTGCAGAAAGCGCCCGCTGTGTGGCATGTGAAAGATGTGGCCAAGGGTTTGTCTCCTTATGGGAGCAATCGATTGCGGTAAACCACCACGCATCAATAGAAATCATGTACCAAGTATGGAACATTTTATTTCATGGCGTTTGATGGTTATGATGTCGACCACAAAACATTTAATGACATTTCAAGCCTTACCCTTCGTTAATACTTTATTTACATTATGCACAACATGGCTCATTTCTTTGGCAGTATTCTTGCGTTTTCTGATTGTATGCAGTTTGTACAATAAAGCAGTTGTTTTTTCTTGATTTTCCCTCTAGCAATCGTTGTAAGATCTTTCTGCACTTCAGTTATTTACTTTTGACAATGATTTATGGCATTATTGCAATACAGTGCTGTTACCCCATTTTTGCTGTCAATGAACCTACTTTGCAATTTTAGCTTTGGGAGATACATTAGGAAATTAACTTGACAAAGGCTTAAAATAGGTGACTGACCCATAAGAACACAGCTGAAAGTTAACATAACGTCATTACACTAACTAATATCACATTACACTGAATCAACATTAGGAAATTCAACACCAGAGGTTCCTGCCAGATATGTTTAGAGCTCTCCAAGAATCACTGTACAAAGCACCGCTCAGTAATTCCCACTATACACTCTAACCGAATGCAGCAGTGGAAGCTCGTCCACTGACATGTCAGGTGATTTATCATCTAGGCTCTGACCCCCCCCCCCCCCCCCCCCTTCTACTTTACCCACAACTTGAGCAAAGCGCAGGCCTGAGAGCACAAACAGCTCCAGAGCCACTCTCCTCTCATGGTTGGCTGGGTTTGAACTCCCCAGTCATAACAGCGATCTATACTTCCTGATACACACCAGGGCCCTGCCTTTACCAGCCACTCCTTGCACCTCGGCTTTCCTTGCTGCTTATCCGCATGTGTAAGAGGTCACCTCTGCAGAGATTGTAACATGAACACAGAGAACGATTCCTCACAGGAGGGTAACCAAAAACTGCACTACATCACAGCACAGTGCTGTAGTCGTGTTTGACAACAGGTTCATCCTGATGATCCACAGAGCTCAGGGAAATACTCTACAGCATTACATAGTAGGTGTTGTGTTGGAATAAGATACATACTTGTATTCAACTCTTCCTGTTGTTTTATAATCTGCATGGTGCAATGACTTTGAATCTTCTGAGGATCAATTAAAAAAAAATCAGTGGGGTGTGTAAAGCAGGTTACTGTGTCACTGAAGGAGTTACCATAACATGCTGGCCAAACCCCCCCTTTCTATACTATCTCTGCTCCCACCCTCCCCCGTCTCTGACCGTTCAGGTGGTTCTCATGGTGCAGTGATCAAGGAGCTCGGCCACCTGAGACTTGTGTTGGCTTGCACCACAGAGTAAGGTCCCCCCCCCTAAATAGGCTTCCGCCCCCCGTTGCCACAACGAGGCTTCATAAGCCGCTGAATTCCTAGTGCCCTTTAAACACAGTGGTCTGTCAACCTCTTTCCTGCTCCCATTGAGTGAGGCATTGTCTGTTTTAGCCCTGCAGACAGCTGTGAAACAATGTCAAAGCAGCACTCTCTCACCACTATGCTGAGTACTGTCTCATTGATGAATCATCATATTATGGCAAAACAACAAAAAAGGCTGACAGACAACAAAAAGTTTCCCGTTTGGCGAAAGAAACAAAACAATGAGGCTATTAATTTTACATCGTGATGACTGTAGTAAAGACAGTTGTGTAAATATATGATGTGGTCCTGCTGCTGTCGCGAATACAGAGCTTGTATTTTGACATCCTCTTTTCATGGCAGAGTTAGTGTTTATTATTGTAATGCTGAGGTCATTACAGCACAACCAAAAGCCTGCTGAGTGACCTAAGTAGGAAGGCTTGTACAAGGCAATTATCAGTTACACTTTACTATATAGGAAAAATAATTACTAACAGACTTACTAAAGGAACAAGTGAGGAACAAACTGAGAACTAAATGTAAATGAAAGCATCGGCAAGTTCCCAAACAATATATTTATATATAATATTATTTCTATATTTTTATGTCTCTTGAGGGCATACACATGTTTGACATTTTAAGGTTTTTTAAAGTTGTTATGGCTAGCGTGCAAATAGTTGCTCATTTACACACCCAGTATAGCTGCGTAGCAACATTACCATTCATTTGGGGTCCTGTTTCTGGCCACCTGACAAACACAAGTCCAATATTGACGCTCCTTCAGCTTTTTCTGTCACCAACTTATTGGTAATACATCTGGGTCTTTCGCTTGCCAGATGTTCTGCCATGTTCACCAGCTAGTTGATCGTTTTTCTGTGTCGAAAGTCTAACATTCATTCTTCCTTTTAGCTCTGTTTTGGTCTCCGCCAACCCCTGGCTCTTTAGCTGTGGAATGCTCCACTATGTTCACCAGCTAGTCGCTAACTTTGTCTTTTTGCAGATTGGTGATGAGCAGTGTACAGATGCTTTGCAGCAGTTTATATGTTGAAAACAGCTGCCTGTTGCTGGCAAAAACAACACTGTGAGAGCAGGTAAAGTAAACCGAAACAGTTAAGTTGCGGCAGAAAAACAAAAGAGTTGAAAGATGCTGTAAAACTCCGTAGAGCTTATGGTAACAGCAAAGTCAGGTGATAATTATTTGTACATCCACAAAGTCACAAAATGGTAAGTAATTGTGAGGCAATGAAGAAATTACTTGGTAGCTACTCAACATTTTGTGTACCATATCGTTAAGGCTTACCCGGTCATTATTGTTTATATCAGTTATGTTTCTTCTACCATTTGAAAATAATCTCTCAACCATAACCATCCTCCCTTTTGCTCTCTGTTCTGTGTCTTTTTACAGGCCAGATTTGCATCATATGTGACCCGTCAAGAAATAGGTTTAAGCTTGGTAGCAATTGCCAGAATTCAAATATAGTATATGCACCATTACACTCCTTCATCTGTGTGAACTCTCAGCTGATGGGTAAGATGTTTATTGCCAAGTTACCAGTAACTTATCTAGCAGTTGCTGTATTTCATACCATGGTAAAATTACCATAGTTTTTAGCATTCTGTACAATATATACTGTATATATATATATAACAGTTGAGAATACAGTAATATTACTGTCAAAACAGCACAAATCTTTTACATTGTAGGTAGACAAAGGTGAGAGGGAAAAGTGGGGCTTGGTCCGCAAGTGTGTGTGTTTGGATTAGAGGGAAAGAAAAAAAGAGTCTGGTGTCATGAATACCAAATTCAATTTGTCACATGATTGTTTCAATTCTAAAAAGCGAAGTGAGATCATGTTTTAAATTGACTTTAAAAAGATCTCCAGGAAGGGGTGAGGGAGGTGTCATAAACTGTAATAAGACATCACACTCATAAAGGCTGTGGGGACGATGATCTAAACAGAAGTAATGTGAGCGTTTCACAGACAGGATGCACCCACCGTGACTACACTCACGACACAACGCCTGCTACACAAGTCTCTCTCTGAGTGATTAGGTTTCACACAGAAATGTATTTCCTCACTGCAGTTGTCTGCAGGCAACCGTGCATCTATCCCCACGGTAGAAATAATGAGTGTTGATTTCTTTTGACATTTTTCTCACATTCCTCAGCAGCAAGTGTTTTCAGCATGGAATTCCGAACTCAATACAGTTGATGGAAGCAGACATATAGAACACGATATATCAGCTTTTCAGTTGGAGTTGTCCAGTTGACAAGAGGAAATATTTTGATGTCAAACGGCAGAACTTCCTGCCACCTGATATGTTGAATGCCACACAATCACCTGCGTTCATCATGTTTTAATCAAAGTATGACCAGGAGGCAAAATGCTGACCATTTCACTTTGCAGGGCTCTGCATTTTCCCGTGTCGCATACATAGTGGACTAATCTGGCAGTGATAAGTGGCACAGGCCACGCCAGAGACAGCTGCCTAGTATTTGGGATATTAACAGCTGTGTGCTTTAAGCGGGCAGTGACTCATGTGATTTGATGACAGTCCAGTAGGGGGTCCTTGGATCTTTCTGCAGGTCTGCTTATAGTTTAGTATACGATTCTGGAGATGGAGCCATGCGTGTGAGGTCATAGGTAAAGAAGACCCTGGTGGGAGCGCTTTTTTTCCGTTTGCTTTATAAAAAAATATTATTTATGACCAGTGTTGGGCTTTACGGGATAACACGTCACTTTTTATTTCTATACATGCTGAATATAGATGTGTCATGACAATGTTGAGGATTTGTTGTCAAGAGGCAGTTTTGACAGCGCAGCGTTAAGTAACAAAGGTAATGAAATGAGAAATGTACTTTTGCATTTCATTAGTGAATAAGTATTGTGTGTATTTTGTGTTAATAGCTTCTTTAACAGTTCTAGAAACGTGAATGCATTTGTTTTAACACTATAGGCTAATGTAAATTTGAATACAATCAATGCAGATTTTATTTGTATTTTTTGTTTATTTGTCAAGAAAAAAAGACTCGTTTTCATGAATTATAGAAATTAATAGAAATCCATGGGCTGCCTGGAATAAACACACAACAAACACATTTAAAAAACCTAAAATGATTTGCTGTCTTTCCCAGTGTTACTTTAGAAAAAATATATTTGTGTCTCTACAAGAATAGAGCAAGAGCCAGAAGGTGATTAGCCTAGCTTAGCATAATAACTGGAAGCAGGGGGGGAAAGCTAGCCTGGCTCTGCAGTCACTAATTAAGACATTGTAACGTGTTTGTTTAATCTGTACTCAATGCCAGATTTAACAGAGTGACTCTGTGTAACCATTTCTTGATGAACAGGATCTCCATCCATTCAGAACTTCTGTGCGGTCACTTTGCCCAGCTGCTCAAAGAAAAAGTTACAGCACACAACTGCCTTGAATCACAAAAATATGTTTGCAAATTACTGTTTGTGTATGGATTAAATCAATGAGATACACCATGTTAATTAGTGAGTAAGTGGGTTTTTGTAGAGAGTAAAGCTTGCCATTTATCCTCTAATACACACAAACATGAGTGGTATTGATATTCTCTTCTAACTCTTGGAAAGTCAGCAAATACAGTAAGAGTGTTTCCCAAAATAAAGCTTCTTCTTGCCTTACCCTTCTCTTTATCCCTCAGTTTTTTTTGTTTCCCAGACTCTCGCATACATACAGACATATATACGAACATGCAATCTCCTTCTCTCACCACACCAACCTCTCTTTTCAATCAGTTTGCATGGGTCAGTGTTAACAGGTGATGTTTAGATATCTCAGAGCTCAGGGGGAGATTACTTTACACCACTAGCTTCTAACTTGATGGCTTCCTGCCTCGAGAGAACATCTATTCTCTAAATATACACGAAACACACAAACACACACACACACTTAAATTCTCTGTTCTCTCACTACTCACATGAGGTTTGGCATCAAATATGGTGAGGAACGTGTTTATGCACACCCTTTTTGCATATAATCGAGCTTTGCATTCATGTGCTCAGACAAATTGTGTCATTTAATAATATATATCCACCTGTTTGAAAGGAAGAGGAGAAATTACCGGATCATTTCAATCCCCAAAGGCCACAGGCTGGACAACTGCTGCACTATTTGTGACCAGCAACCAAAAATAACAGTGAGGTCACATGGGGTAAAAAATAGATAACACCACCCAATGAGAGTTCGGCGGGAGGGTTCACTTCCATCATGGATGCCCAGAAAAAGACAAGCTTGACTGGAGAAAATCTGTAATTGCTTTCTGGGTTACTTGATCGTAACGCTCCATTCCTACACTTGGAAGATTGCGTTACATATAAACTAGCTCAGGCTAGTTTTCAGGACACTAAGTTAAAGTCCTCCATTACACTGCATTTTAAATGGTGATTTTCATTTCAAAAGTCAGTTCACTCTGGGTCTGGTAACCATTTCTCTGCATGATTGTTATATTATAAAACCTAGTACTTCTCATCTTTTTACATTCTGTAAAAGCATACAAAACAGATGTAGCTCACAGACAGTGTGTGAAAACACACCCTTTTCTCTCAGCCCAAATACCCTCAGAAATGAGGATGTATGATCCCCACAAGTCGCACAATTTCCTCTTGTTGACCAATAAAGATATTTTACTGAACTAAAAAAGGTATTTGTTGGCTAATGAACATTTTAACATGTACTGTGGGAAGGAAAGAAACAATTTGATTCTAGACTAAATTCATTTTTAACGTTTGCAGCAGAAAGAAGGATCTCTACTGTTTTTACATTGTGCTACCACAATGTTCCATTCTGCCGTTGCATTGTTATATGCACTTTGCATAATTTCCACCAAAGCTTCTCCAACAGTCTGATGGTCATTTCTTTACCCTCCATTTTTTGGTGTGTGTGAAAGCACAGATAGCACCTCAATGAATCGATGTGTTTCCTGCTAATGACCACTTCCTGGTACACCCTTAAAAAATAACAGAAGTACATGTGAACTGTGAAGAGCTACAAAAGCTTCAGCTCTTTGATGTTCTGTGCATTCGTGAATTTGTCTTCAGACTGCTAACAAACAATCGTAGATCTAATACGACACTGATCACAGTGCGGACTGCGGGCGAGTTCATAAATTGTAGACTAGAACTAAGACTTTCCTTAATAGTTGATATGTATGTTGAAAAAATACAACAGTGCTGACTTAAAATATAATATACTTAGTGGAGAAATGATTGGATTATCAAATGTAACATTTGCCATTGATTAATCAACATTTAATTTGCTTCCCAGTTCCTCCAGAACACAAGGATGACTTTGATCTACTCAGTGATTCTCTGCCTCTTTTTTAAGGGCAGGAGCTGCCAGCCGTGTGTCCAAGGTATGATGAATTGTATCTTCAAATACAGTAAATATAAACTAATACATTCCACATTGAACAATTCGGGAAATTGTTGTAATTTTGCTTTCTTTGGCAGAAACTCTGAACGAAAAAGAGTTTTCAATCAGTGTGACCTCACACATTCAAGCAAAATCTGGTGAATGTATTAGGATCCCTTATGAATTAACCCTTCCAACAACCAAAGTTACAGTCCCATATCGGAAGTATTTGTTCAAAGGAGATCCACAAAATACAGTAGATATTTAAAAAAATTCCAGTACAGAATTTGGGACAAAAGACTCTTTCCACATAAATGGTCTACCACGTGGAGAGCATGAGTTTGGCTTCAAACTCAAATGGAGATGTAATCAGACGTATATTTTTCTAAAGATGGTGCAGATCTCAGTTTCTGGGGAGTAATGCATGTCTTGCTCATAAAAAGTGAATTGATTTTCTTACATGTAATAAAATGTATTTATACAGCAAAACAGCAAAAAAAGAACAACACATTCCTTGGAATAGTTCAATATTTTATTAAATACACAGTTACAGCATTGTTACTACTCCTTTTAAGACCACACATTTTTTACATTTTGTTTGTGTATTGACCACAAAAATAAGTTACAATGTGTTAATTAGTCAGCTGTAGTAATATTTCTGTACTTTGGATGGAGTCAAGCCGTTTACCCCTGCTTGATTCCAGCTCCGTTCTTGATGCACGACATGAGAGTGGTATCGGTCTTCTCATCTTACACTTGGAAAGAAAGAGAATAAATTCATTTTACCAAATAATTACTTAAAACCTCCCCTGCATTGTCAAAGGCTGAGCTAGTTGACAGGAAAGTATAGCTTGCAACAGTTGACAATGCTATAATATTATTTATTTTCAGAATTAACCACAAGACCATATATTCAGCTTTTTCCCATGACGGAGGGACAATCTGCCGAACTGACATGTATGGCTGACATATTATGCGAGGAAGCACTAACACTCCACTGGGAATGGACAAAAGCTGATGGACGGTCTACGGTGCTTCGTGGTGATCCTTTGCGGCGTCGCGGTGATTCTCGCCCGTATGAAGAGGATTCATTAAAACTCACTCCTAGCGCAGATGACCACAACACCAACATCACATGTGTGGCAAATTATGATCACAGTATTGTCAAGACAACTGTCTCATTGACTGTGGAATGTAAGTAGGTTGCCGCATTTGTTGGACTAAATATTAATTTGACATGCTTCCAACCCATATTCTCTCTATACTGGTCATTAAGATTGCGCAAGTATTTTCTCAATTATGCTTCTTTCTTTATTTCAGTTCTTCCTAAGATCCAAAATGGTTCCCAGTGCATGGTTGAAGGAAAGCTTGTGGTCTGTGTTTGCATCAGTCGGGGGAATCCTCTGCCTCTAATCTACTGGCCTTGGGCCTCTCTCACTAACTTCTCAGTCACCCGCTATAGCAGCATCCAGACAGTTCACAGCACTATGCTTGCTGCCGACTATACCAACACCAAATGCATCAGCAGCAATAAACTGGGCCGGGCTGAGTTTGAACTTCCGCTCCAGAACTACACTGAGAACTGTGAGTAGTCCTTCATATGTATCTCTGTTTGCATTGCCATTGTGCAACATTCTATCCTCTAAAAATCTTTAACAAGACATATTTTAAAATATTCATATCAAAATATCCTATTTGTTCTATGATGAATTTAAGTTATTGCTGCTTTTTTATATATCAAAATAACCATTATGCAGCAAAGAGCAAGTGTCAAAACCTGCAGGTAAAAGCATTTGAAATGATATACATTAACTATTGTGTTGATCTATACTCACCTATTTAATTGACTATTGGGTCAAATTACTTTGACAGACATCAGTCAGAATGGTAGACAGAGGATTTAGAGAGATTTATTTGATAACACTGAATGTTTACATGCTGCTGACCTTGCTGTTGAAAACTGCGTAAACTTTTTTTTAATGAAGTTGAAACTATGAATTTATTTAGATTGGTTAGGTATGAATCCCAAGTTTGATGCGGCCCTTCCCTGGATAATTGCTGGTGTATCTTTAAGTCTGAACCTGGTCCTCCTCACCACCATGATCATCCTCACTTACAAACGGTGAGAATGTGAAATTACCCTGAATGCAAACCCTAATGATGTCAACTGATGTCAATAAATCAAAGGATTACGTTTTTACCATCTTCTCTTCTAAATTTTCAGGGGTAAGAATCAACAGAGGAAACCTAGCGTGGAGATTAACACTTATGCTTCCCTGAATCAAGCAGATTTTGGGCAAGAATATAGTGTTATCTCACCACATCCCAGGGCTGTGTCCAAGGAGTGACACATGACACCCAGGAAATCTGATTGGCCACCACATTATCTATTAAACACAGGAATGTAAGAAACTGTTAGATACTGTAATGTTAGTAATTAAAGTAGATGAGTAGTGGGGACAGAAATTGTAAATTAATGCTATTCTGATGTGCTTTTGTGTGCGTGCAAATACTTCATGCTAACCCTGCATAAATCACCCAAGAGCATATCATTCGCTGCTGCTTATTGATACCCAATTTTTTAGTCCTTGAGTTATGTATAGTTTTCTATATTATTTTTGTTTAAATGTTTGAACTAAATAAGAGTACATTATTTTGACATTGACCAGATACTGGGCAGTCAAGTCTGCAAAGTGTAATTCATATTCCACTTTAAAGATAGTTTCCTATAATACATCACAATATCATCACCAATATCCTCAGTGATATTGGTGAGAAGAGGAGTCTGCAAAGAGCTAAGGGGATATTAAAAGAAAATACCAACCAACCTCACCCTGATACCGTCTGGAAAGAGATACAGAATTATCAGCTGCCAAACCACCAGACTTCAAAACAGCTTCTTTCCTCTGGCTGTGAGACTCCTTAATTCATCCTCCACCCTCTATATATAATATTGTTTTTTGTTGTTTCTTTTCTATGTAGCAAATTGGGGCTACAAAATTTTTTTCGTTGTGCAACCCTGTCGTACAATAACAAATAAAAGACTTTGTAACCTATGTCGCATTAAAAAAAGACCGTTCTAAGAAGTGTTTAGATGTGTGAAACACAGCGAATAACTTCCTTTCATATCACATGGCACCAACGATGTCCACAAAAGGTTTCAGGGACAAAACATCTGCAGTCGCTACAGCCAAACTCAAATCCCCTCACACTGAAATGTTTTATTGTCCATTTGTAAATTAATTAACCAGCTAAAGAAGCTTTTATTCTCTAAAACTAAGTAATGTATGGATGAATTACAGGAAGTGGCACTTCCTCCAGTGACAAGATTACTAGCATAAGAAATAGAAAGATGATGTACAGCTTTTTGAAAGCTACTGTATGTATCATGATCATTTGAGGCCACCAGTTGAACACGGGGCACGGCAGAACATTTGTAGGCTTTAACAGTGTCAGTCTGTCTAAAGCAGGGCTCATCCTTTTACACACCCACTGAGCTCACTGCTATTCTACGCTCTCATAAAAAGCTTTTCGCCTCATTTCATTCCCTTACAGCAGGATTAAGGCCTTGTAGCAAAAGGCCCTAATCCCACAGGTGTTGTGCGCGCACACACACACACACACACACATCACACACAGTGATCACACAGTATTTTTTCTCTCTCCTGGTAAAGACCCCAAAAATGTACCCTAGAACCAGATCCTGTGTCTTTAACTTAACACCTTAAAGCAATAGTTTAACATTTTGAGAAATACACTTATTCATTTTCCTGCCAAGTGTTAGATGACAAGATGGATACCATACATGTCTGTATAATAAGTATACACAAACAACATCACACTGTGCTCAACCTCTGCTGGAACGGACTCCTTCAAAGGACGGTTTCAGTGTGCCAAGGTGTCCCTTGATGAAGTCCTGGTACTCCCACGACTGAAAGATGGCAGCTCTCAGAAGACCCGTGGAACTTTCAACCACAGATAACCTGGCCTCAGAGATACTAGGACATCTAAAATTAGTGTTGTCAGAGCGTTCCTCGATAAGGAAGTTTGAGATTTCACACTCCTTGTTCACATCCCACTGCTGCTGTGGGAGTAAAGTGTGTGTGGTTGCCAGTGAGCCAGAGAGAGAGACACACAACAGAATCCAGTTACTGAAAAGAGCAAAAAACGCAATGAAGATTTTTTTTGAAGCTATGTATGTCAAGCAGTGTGTAACGAAATGTGGTGCAATGGGGAAAAAATGCCAGGAGGAAGTAGAACATTAAGAGAAAATAGAGATACGCTTCGGGAGCTATTGTGACTTAACAGCGCTAGCCTGATCAGGCTAGCCCTGCGAGTAGTCATTAGGTCACCAGGCTTTGTTTTTGAAGCGTGAATGCAACCAGCAGAAGTAAAAAGCTAACTTTATTCTAAGAACGAACAACGCCATGGTTGGATGAGCGCGAGTATAAACGAGGCTGCGAAGACGGATTAGTCGGTGTGATGATATTTACTGACGTATTTTATGTCATAAAACAAAACTTTAAAAATCTCTGGAGCTTGTGTTAACCACAGATCTTATTTCAGACCTCTAACCAAAAACCCATTCAAAAAACCCATTGACTTCAAGACGAGGGAACCCGAAAGTGCAAACATGCTTACTCATCTGGGGTTGTTACTCTATCAGACAACCTCAAGGCATTTCACAACAATGGTAATCAGGTGCCTACATTTGAATCGGAAGTTTAAAAGGCTGTTGAGGTCTACTCTGCTTTTTGTTTCCTCTCTTCAATACCGAGACTACCTGCTGCCAACAGGAAATAGGTGCCACGTCTGACAATCGGCTATCCACTTTTACCTTATCTTAAGATATATGTAGACAACCAGACTCCGTAGCTTATTTAATCATGTTATCTGCATGTGTTTGTCTGTGTATGTGTGTCTCCGTGTATGCTGTCACTGTGCAGTACAGATGTATATGATTTATATTTGGTGCAGCAAAGTCAAATCTGACGCCAGATTATTGTTTGAGGCTACTATCTTTTACACAACTTCAAAAGATCCCGTATCCACAAATCTAAACTTGGTTAAACATAACCACGATTAAGACCTCAATTGTCTACGCATTCAGTCGGAGTTACAATTGTATCAAGTAGTCCCATGATTTGAAAACAGATAACAGAAAAAAACAAACAGATATGCATATGAAACTCGTGAAATTGTACGAGAGAGAGTGAATGCAAAGTTTGGTAATAAGAACCATTTGTCCCTTTCCAGATCACAAACACTTGATCCAAAACAGGCACGGGGGAATGAACATTTTAAAAGGAATACATTTCATGACGATCCATCACTCATAACAACCTCCAATACTGTTCAGCAGTGTGCATGAGCTATGACCTTCGGCAGGTTCATGACATCAGAGACTCACAAGAAAAGGTTCAGCGCCACCTCCCCACCACCTCCATCCGCTCTCCGACCAAAAGGGGGAGAGAAAAAAAGTCTAGGCCTGTTTCAAATCCCAAACTGCGTAAATCCTGTGGCATGAGTCCATGAAGCAGTCCTGGGGAAGGAGGATAGTGTTTGGGGGATTAGCCCCAGTCCAGGTGGTCTTCATTTAACCCCCTACCCCCATGAGGGGGCTGTGAGCTGCTGTAAGAGCTCAGCACATGGTCATCACAGCTTCCACCCGGTTTTGATCTCCCATCCACCCACCTCGCCTCTGTTTTTTTCTATAGGTCTCAGAGGTATTCACCTGAGCGCTGCAGCTCGTGAAACACAGTTGAATCTTTATTAGGCTTGATAGGGTCCATGATGGACTGCATGTTTCATCATGTTGCCTCTGTTTTGCAGCTATGGTGTCAAATTATTACAGAAAAATTAGTATGATTGATGTAGAAAAGCAAAGCAGACATGGGGGCATAGATTGTACTGTTACTTGGCATGTAAACTGCCATGATTGTGTCTTTTGTTGGAGGCTAAAGTAGAAATTAAAAGTCAAGGAAGGAAAAGATAAAACATGAATGAACAATCGTGTTGACAGCGACAATAAAGATGAACTGAAAAACTGAACAACAGGACAAAGTCAGGTCGAAGTTATCCAAATATGTCCTCCACTATACATCTTCCCCAGCTCCTTAAATGGGAGTTCCAGGTATTGTACCTCTGCTAGTTGGAGTTTGAAGTTGTGTAAACAGGCCTAAATGGCAGGGAAGCTGCTGAAGATCTGAGAGAAACTCTGATCAAAGGCACCTTTACATGCAGCCCTGTGCATTTGTGTGTGTGTGTGTGTGTGTGTGTGTGTGTGTGTGTGTGTGTGTGTGTGTCCCACAATGAGATGACAGACATAGATCTCTCTGGTGTGGTTCCTTCAGAGGCCCTGTTGCATTTTGACAGCCTCTGTTTGCACAACACAAGCCAAGGAAAGCGCGCTCACCTGCACCGAAGCTCACACAACACCTCACATGGACTCTGAGGCCACCATATGCGCTCGGATAAGTGTAAAAAAAGCAGATCCAATGCTGGCATTTTAAAGAAACACTGGAAACACATCAATGGGGACGGTGAATGGACAAATTACTCTGCTTCAGCTAACTGGACAAGTGGCATGTGAGTGATGGACATATTCCCAGGTAAAGGCTTTGTGAGTTAAAGACACCTTTATCCTTGACACCTCTTGAGCAAACAAAGAAATGGAGAGAGAAGAAAGAGGAAGGGTGAGAGAGAGAAAAGCAGAGGGGGTTGAGTTCAAGACAGCTTCTCTGCTCAGCAAGAGCTGCCTTTGAAAATCCCTTTAACAAAAAGAAACGGGGCAAAGTAAATGTCTGTCCAGGAAGTCCAAACTCTGGAGCGTTTTTGCCGATTATTGTTCGAGGTGACATTGCATGAGAGCTCTTTTGGCTGGGCTGCTTCCATGCAGTCCAATCCCGAGGTAAAGGGACCACCCATTAGCCTTGCCTGAAGAAATGCCCATTCAGTCTATTCACAGACCTGCCTGTCTCTCGGGGCTTGTTTCTGGCCAGGGATTGTGGCTGGAGAGTGGGGGGGGGGGGAAGGGTTCCTAAAAGCGGAGATCTGGGGAATGAAGTCTGGTTGCCGTGGGCTGCCGAACGGACTAGACCAAGCCAGAGCCGAGGGGGTCTCCTGCTGCGGGAGAGCAGGGCTTTGATTCGCCACTCTGCTCCACGTCCGTGTCCCACAACAATCGACAGCTAAAACCCCAGGGGCCAGGCTTGGTGAGAGGAAAGGTTAGCAGTAGGGTGGGCGCATGTTGTGCATGGTGGTGACAGTGACATTGACAATGATGGGGGGGACAATGTGGCAGCAAGCAGCTGTGTGGGAGGTGACAGAGGGGTGAGGAGAGAGGTTG